TGTGGTCTGCAATGTATTCTTGTTTTCTATTTCAGTTATTTATCGCATACTAAATTTACCAAACAAATTAGTCCACAAATTTATAGACATCACAAATATATACTATAAATTATAATTTATAGTTGTTTATATCTGTTATAGACATTCTATTATTCTAATATCTAATGCATTCTCCCGACGGAGGCCATATTCCATAGACCCAGTTCAGGGGAAGTTAAATTTTTACCTACAAATTTATAAAAAAAAGTGGTTGGGGCAAGGAACTTTATGAATTTTAAACTGATAAATGATTTACAAAATAATTTTCTCTTGACTATAAATAGCTCAAAAAGAGTCGAAATAGTTTGAAAATGTTACCATGTATGGAAAATTCGAATATCAATATTTGGTACTTTTTTTTGTTACAGGTGGAAAAACTTATGTAACTTAATCTATTTAAAATTTTTAATCTCAGTTATGAAAAGAAAAACCTTTATGAATTTCTAACTGATAAATAGTTTACAACATATAAAATAGGTAGGTAGCGCAATTTGTCAAAACTGTTTAAACATTTTACAATGTACCTATGTATTCTTAAATTAAACTATAAAAATGTAAAACTGAAAATGTCCGTAAACAGCTCAAAAAGAGTCAAATTATTTTCAAAGTTGTATGGTGTATAGGAAATGTTAATATCAACATTCAGTGAAATTTTCAAGTATCTACAGTTATTCGTTTTTGAATTACAACAAAATAAGGAAATCGCCACATGAGAAATCGAGTGAATATCCAATGTTGTAAAAATTTGAATTTCAAACGCTCATAAAAATTTAATTTGACTTTCTTATAGAATTTTTTTTTTTTGATAAATGTAGGAAATTTTATAAGGAATCTTGTATTACATTTTCATATCTTAGATTTAAAAAGGAAAATTTTTATGAATTTCTAACTCCAAATAATTTGCAAATTTTCGTGATTTTTCCATATTTTGTCATTTTTTGAACTTTAAATGCTTATAAAAATAAACCGTGACTAAGGATTTTTAATATTTTTCATCTGCCTTTGAAACAATATACTAGAAACCTTCTTTTAAATTTTCAAGCTTTTTTAACCAACAAATAAAATTTAATTGGTATTTTTAGAAAAAAAACTAAAAAAAAATTTAAAATGAAAATGTCTTTAAACAGTTAAAAATAAATTAAAATATTTTGAAAATGTTATCGTGTATGGAATATGCAAATATAAACAACCAGTGAAAATTGCATGTATCTATACGGTCATTTGTTTTAAAGTTATACCAAAAACCAAATTCAATTTTGTGAAAAATCGATTTTGCGTAAAAATTCCCGTTTTTCCGTAATTTTTCTTTTGTATTTCTTGGCGCTTTTGAAAATTACTGGGAATTTTAGATCTTATAAATAGTTCCAGTGTTAAGCATGTACGGAAATTTTCATTTAAATCTAAAAATCTTAAATAGGTATTCATTTGAATCTATAAATTCATTAAGATCATTAGATCTATATACACACGAAATGTATGATCTGGATAAAGTCGACTAATGCATTCAAGTTCGACGTGGACAACATAGTACTTACCATCTATGCTCATCAAATGTTTATAATCATTAAAATTATAAATAGGTAATCTATAAGGAATATCACCAATGACCAGTCCTGTAAAGTATTTGAGTAAAAGTATTTGAATAAAAGTATTCAAATACTTTTTTAAGTATTGAATAACTTTTTAAATACTTTCAGCATGAAGTATTTTGAATGGTATTTTAAATACTTTTTTTTGTATTAAATACTTTTTGGTATTGAATACTTTGGTTTTTTATTTCGAACATTTTATTTTTATTCGAAATAATTTTAGAAATTTTAGAATGAATTAAGAACACAAAATAGGTAGTATCACCAATGGGTGGTTTCTTCCCTCAAAAAAAAAATCATACGCAAATACCCTATGCACATTTGCTTATTGTTCTAGTTAAGAACAGATTGTAAATTTCATGTAAAAATAAAAAAAAAATGTAATAAACATTTATTTAATAAATAATAAATAAAAATGATTATAAATTTACTACCTATGTGTCTATATTACAATAATTAGAAACCCACTTTAAAAACCAAAAGTATTTGAAAAGTATTCCAAATACTTTTTCAAAGTATTTGAGTAGTATTTGAAATACTATACAATTAAAGTATTTGAGTAGTATCTTAAATACTTAAAAAAAAATGTATTTGAGTACTTACTCAAGTACTTTTCAAAAGTATTCTTTACAGGACTGCCAATGACAAATTCTTTATACACACCCCAATTATTTATCACCAAGTTAACAACTATCAATGAAATATTTCGATGTTTTTCTTGCGTGCCGAATATCTATGACACGGAACGAAATAAACAATTTCAATTGAATTACAACAAAATAAGGAAATCGCTATATGAGAAATCGAGTGAATATCCAATGTTGTAAATATTTTAATTTCAAACACTAATAAAAATTTAATTTGACTTTCTTATAGACATTCTTTTTTTGATCAAGGTAGATAATCTTATAAGGAATTTTGTATTACATTTAAAAACCTTAGATTTAAAAAGAAAAATTTTTACGAATTCTAAACTCAAAATAATTAGCTAATTTTCGTGATTTTTCCAAATTTCCGTTTATCCTTAATTTTTCTTTTGTTTTTCACTCCGCTTTTGAAAATTAATAGGAAATTTTTACTTTTGACCCCCCATAGTACCAACTAGATTCACTCTCCTACCAGAAAAGATACTGTTGAAGAAAATCCAAGCACGTTTACTGTCCTAAAATGTGATGACAGACACAAAAAAAATAAAAAAACACATCATTGTAAAATCAATACATTCATCGTTAAACTCAGAATATAAAATATAAATATTTTGGTACGTACATCATCGTTACATAAATATATTAACTAATTATACTGTATTACTGTAAGGCGTAAGCAGTGGCGCCGAAGTCCAAAATTTTACCTGACATTTGGACACCTCCACATAAAATTTTTACTCCCACATTATTCTTATAATTACCTTACCATACACCAAGTATAGTTTGTATGTTGTTTATTCAACATATTATCGTAAAATAACTATAGAATGACAAAGGTGACCCCTTACCTACTAAAATCACCTATGACAATATTGTAGGTATATATATTTTGGCGCCACTGGGCGTAAGCAAGATATAATTCATAGGCGTAAGCATTTACACTATTGAGTATTGACAAACTGCTAACCAATAATGATGAAGGTATGAAAAACCATAGATAGTAGGCGTAAAGAATAAGAAGTATGCTCAATGATAAGACTGCGCATATTTTTTTAAGGGGCAATGTATAATTTATATACGAAGGTATATACATATTATGCGTGAACAAAGAGCTTCTTTATAATCGTGGTGACGATTTTTTTTTAGAAAAGAGAAGAAAGCTTTGGAAGAAGAAATGAAAAGGTCAGTGAAGGATATGGATGCTCGACAGTCGACAACAATGTTTTTGTTTTTAAATTTGACAGCTTAAGAAAGAGATGAGAAGAGACAAATTGTCACTAAAAGAATTAGAACAACAAATTTCTATATTGAAATTTAAACGTAAAAACATTTCTATATCTATTATGTTTAAATTGATGATTATGAGCATCCCCACACCTGTTTCGATAGCCAGGTAACGTGGGAGGATGCGCAGAACCGGCATGTTCTCTTGTGGAACAGACTAAAGTGTAGAATCATTGCATAGTTTTTATACTCTATAGTTAATTTTTTTATATCATTTTGGAAGAATACAAAAAAGTATATTGTTTTTATATGTATATTTTGTTATAGTATCAACATCCAAGGAAACCATTGATGAAGATAAACGTATAGCAACAAAAGAAGTAAGTTTTCACAACAACTGTAACATTGGACGGAGGCCCTTCAAAGAAACTAGTAAAAAAAACTCCACAACAAGCTGTTTTGAACACAATTGTTTGTCCAAAATTTGAAGAATTATGAATAAATATTATCATTATTGTTATATTATTTAATTGGTTGTATAGCAGATATTTTAAAAATATTCACATGGGATCCTAAAATTATACGATGTGCTTCTTATTTAATTAATGTAAAACAAAGATTTCTATTTTCACAGCATAAATGTATAATGTTCTAGGATCATAAAGTTTTCTATTATAATAATCACTTTGTAATATAAAATAAAACTTGTGTAGTTATATTTATAATAAAAACTTTCAATCTGACAAAAATGTATAAAGATTTTTATTGTTTAATAATGAAAGATAAATAATAAATTGATGTAAATACCTTTTTAAATAATTTACAGACACAAACCCACGTAATAAGCTTGTTTGCATATTAAATTCAGTGAATTTTTGTGGTGGAAAGAAACCATGTTGGCTAAACAATAATTTAATCTATATTTATATATATTTTACAGAATCAATTGAGTTTGTGCACTTTATTGTCTAAACTGTACATGGAAATATGGAATACTCTTTTTAGTTAAGAAAAATAAAAATATATTCTCTAAAACCAATTTCTTTCTTGATTTTTGAATAGACAGTTTATAATTTATTAGTTATTAGTTATTACAATGAACATTCTATAATATTATCATAACATAAAATAAATCATATTTATATGTAAAAAAAATAAACTGGAAAATATTAGTTGCCAGTTTTTTTTTACACTTACTATTATAATATATATTACATTCATATTACTCAACAATGATCACCAATTAGAAACACAATAGATTGTATGATTTAGTGAGTTGCATACTAATACCAAAAAATATTTACTCATAAAAAAGTAATTAGTATGCATTGTTATTCTGTGCTAATACCGACAAATTTATGGCAGTCAGTAGATGATATTCTAAATAAATAACATATTAATTAAAAATGTATTCTCAGATGCTGAAAAAATTTATTAGGTTATAACAAACAAAACTAATATTATATTACATTTAATAAATGGGAAATGATTTTATCATTTATTATACAACATCTCCATACTGATTACGTGATTCCCTGGGTTGAGGTATCCTTGTTTGATCAGATGGCAAATAAGGTTGATTATCCCATATTGGTTGAGTATTTGATGGAGGCGGTGGCCTAAATCAAAATATTTGAATATAAAGTGAATATTTATAGTCAATAGTGTTGTTTTTTTCATGTTTAAAAGTAATTTTCAGTGTTATGTAATTTTAAAATCATAAACAAATTAAAGGAAGTTATTACTTATTTTAATGATTATTTATATAGAGCTAATAAAAGACAACTTTCCTTGATAAACTCTGAACTATTTAAATTAAAGACAATTATTACCATTTTTTTAATGATGTCTTATTAATATTTAAATTGTATTTCATAAACACTGTTACTGATCAGTGATCAGTTATAAATGTAAAACCAAAAAAGACCAAAGTAAAACTAATAAAACTATATACTCAATTCTCGTTAAGAATGATATTGGTACCAGTTTTTGGTGGGCAGCACGGCAGCAGTCAGGCAGACAACACACGTTTGTCACACACACTGTTTCAAACATGTATGTGTACACCTGCCATGTGGCAAAGCTAGAAACCTGGGTATAAGGCGGCTACCAAGTTTTCTTCTTAACATGAATAGAGTATAAATAAGATGATAAAGTATTTAAATGATTTACCTGTATGCCATTTTATTTGGTTGTGTTCTATCATAGTCTTGCCTATTACGAATCCTAAGATCATCATAAGAAGTAGGTGTAACATTTGACATGGAAATTTCATTATCCTTTCTAAGTGGTAAACCTAAAATACAATTTGTGTGAAATATGATAAAAATAGAATTAATTGTATTAATCCTACCATCATAATTGGGTCTATAATCTGTATCTAAAGAGTTCATAGGTTTATGCATATCCATATCCATATCAGATTTGTAATCATTCATAAGCGTTGGTGTATCAGTTCCAGATGAAACAATAGTTGGACTAAGGACACTTCTGAAAAATAAATAAAAATAATTGGATATTATTCATTGTGACTGATTTTTATATGTTATTCTCTTTACCCTTGAAAAAGTTCACCACTTGCTTTTCCTCTGCGTTCCCTGAGAACTCGTCCAAGTTCACTATTAGGTAGCTGCATTAATTTCTCAGCACATATTGTTTGATAAGAATATTTACCAATAAGATAACCAACCAGACCACCAAACATTACTTTAGGCCATGGACCCCATTTCACACTCCGCTTTAAATAACCTTAAACATTTAAACTATAATAATATTTATGTAAACAAAATGATATGACAATAGACATTCAATACATGACAAATTAACATAACACAATATACAAAATGCTTTCTAGGCAATTTAGTTTGTATAACTAATACATAATGAAGGTGCATATTATGTTGTCATTAAAAACAATAGTTTCGATATCGATAATTTAGTGTTATTAAAAACCAAGCATAGCATCAATAATAATGGCATAGCTTACCGGCATTGACGGCAGCATATGAAATAGCACCTGTGATCAGCGATAATGGTAGGCTCCTCTGGAAAAAACTTTCTTTGTTGCATTCGTTCATGACTCGGGTTTCTTCTGGTGAGAACTGATAGAACTACATGACAGGGAAAAATCAAAATAAATTCCATGCAATAATACATTTTATGGATGGCGTAATTCAGCCATTTAGTTGATCGTAAAATAATATGTACGACTGTAGGGAACATAAAAATATGACTTACCACTGAATCTGGAGACGGTTTCTGTTGCTGTTGCGGTGTGCCGGAATGTGGATACGCCATCGTCACACAAGTTTTCTGAACGGACCGACGATTTATAGGTACCTAATATTTTTATGTTATTATTTATTATGATTTGCAGCCTTCGATAACAGGATTACAGGAACTCAGGACTGCTACAATAACAAATGCACGGTCTACAGTAGTGTTGATCGACGTCAATACTCAATGTATTAGTATTACTGACAAGTGACAACAATGAACAAGTTAGTAGTTACAACTTACTGTTTAAGCAGTATTAGGTTCACAAATCGTAAATACTAATTATCTATTGCGGGGCACAGGCAGGCGAGACGGCATGAACGCCTTACGGCTTTAGGCATATGTAGTGAACCAGTACCCGGTTCCCTGGATGGCAGAATGATAAATTTTATTATTTTTGATTTTCGAGCGTTATCGTTATCGTTGTAGAGACTCCCAGACGTGGAGAAGAAACGCGTCCATTGACCGTGAATCGTGATAACAACTGCGGACAATCGGCCGAGCGCAGCCACGACCACCGTCCTCCAAACGCACCCTAATAAATTATCTGATCACCACTCCATCATTATTCATTTCATTACTATACTATAATACAGGTACATAATATAATATTGTTTTTAAGTACGGTTTTTTTTTATTCCTTCTCCCAAATCACACAAGTCGTTCCCCCATTAATGTCAATTAACCAATGTTGTTACTCTGATTAAGTATTTTTTTTTCTGTTAATTTGTAAATTGTTTTTTCACTTGTAGTGCTCACCGTAGTCTATGATAGTTTCGGCTTACGATTTCCCCAGAGTTGTGTAGTCTCATCTTCGTGATTTTTGAAATATTAAGACGATTGTTCATAAGCAGTCAAAATGTTTCATTAGTGTTTGTGTTTTGAATTACTTCATCGTACCGCCGGCAATGGATAGTATTACGAAAAACGTAAGTGTTTCAATAATTTTTTTTTAGGTTGATTTTAATATATATTTTATTATTAAGTGAATACCTAGGTTTTTGATTATAGAATACTTTATAGGTAGAATTAAAACTGACGGTGGGACAAGATTTGTTTTAAGTCTTTCAACACCCTGAAATTTGCAAAAAATACAAAATTTTTTTTTATTAATTTAGGTAGGTATACTATTTTAATTTCAACATCCTCGTTTAAGCTTAAATTTACTCATCTATAGCAATACATTTAAAAGTTATCAACATTTTAATAGGTTCAGCAATTATACTTGGGTGAAGGTAGGTACCTAAGTCCTAAATACATTATTGTACCTATAATTTTAAAAACCGTGAAAATGATATTTATTCATAAGTTTTGTGTACATATACTTTGTGGAGCACCTGTATGAACAGCAGATAATTTAATTTGTCATAAAATAATTGAATAGGCACCTATGTTTTTTGTATACCTGCTTAATTAAAATATGTGAACAATGGTATTAAAAAACTTTGATGGATAAGTATTAAATATTAGTTAGGTAGGTTAGTTAGGTATATAAATGTAGTTACTTAATATTTGTTTATGGCAGTTCAAATTACACTGATGTAGGTACATTTTAATATATAACTAGAACATTGGATATTGACTCTTATTTAATTTGAGACTTATTATTTTTTTAATTATCTATTAGAGTTATTAAATCAGTATTCTGGATTTGTTTATTAGTATGTTAATAATAGTATTTGGCCCTTAGACTTTTTTAAATAAGAGAAATTAATTAAACTTGTTTTAAAATTCATACACTGTGAAACATAAATAATTTTGGGGGGACGGAGTGGCCGAGCGGTCTAAGGCCTCGGTTGCAACGCTGGCTTGATACCTTGGTCACGTGTGGCATTTTTCTTCGAGCAAGTCACGGTGTCCTGAGAATAAGTGCCGCCATCCCGGGCACGGCAGATACCTACGAATGCCCAATCAAAAATTCTGACAAACCCAACCCACACGTGTTCCCCCTCTACCGACACAAAAACCATACAGCTAAATGGCCTCAGTGGTTGCGCGAAACTGTATAGGCTTTGAAGCATATTGTATATTTTAAATATTTTTACCACCGTACCCTTCATTGAACCAAAATTAGCAGCAGGGGCCATTAATAGTTATTAATTTTAACATTTGCTATGACATTTTTGTTGAGGTATTATGATTATATACATATATTTATACACTCACCTACCCATTTCAGACATAAAGCAATTGCTTCAAATAATCCTATATCCAGCCGCCACTAATAGCCATAGTGGCCGGGCTTATGATCATTAAAAAAAAAAAAAAAAATAATTTTGATTTGCCTTACAATTAACCCCGGAAATTTAGTCAGCGAAAAAAATAATCCTGTGAAAACATAACCCTACCTATAGTAAAATCAAGTAAAAATGATGTGTACCTAATACATTCTCAAGATTTCACTGACAGTCTATGTAACTATGATTTAAAAACAAATAACAAATAGGTAGTTAATATTTTTAGTCATAATATATTTGTAATACAATTTTAATAATATATAGGTAAATATAATTATATAAAACAAATAGTCAAATTTTTTTGGAAATGTCAATAATATATTATAACCATTTCCATAAGTTAAACTATTGAATGTCATTAGGACAGGCCAAATGATAAATATGAAAAAAAATTCTAATTACAAAATAGGTTTTATTAAGTTCGTATTTGTTATCCAGTCAGTATTAGGTCAGGCCATGGTCCGACTGGCTAGAATCGTAGTTTCATCTATGAACGTCTCCGCTCTGAATCGTTTTAATCGTATACAATAATTTGTCATTGAATCCAAATTTAACATTAGGTATTTGTGGGGATATTACAATTTTACGTATGTTATAAATTTTACTATATGCATTGACATACAAATATTTAGATTCATTTTAATTTTTACCTATTATTTACTTGAAACCCATTTTCACTGTTCTATGGTAAGGTGATATTAACTCAAAAGTTAATAACCACCTTTTTATAATTTTGTAAAATCTAATATGGGGTTATTTTTTTTAAGGTACCATCTATTTTAACTATAGTAAAAATTATATTTACCATTGTTTAAAATAACAAATTATTTTTCTTTGTCTCATAAAATCAGTGGCATGGTGAACAATTTTAATTGAAGGAGGCAAGTATATTTTATCAATCTACCCACCCACAGACTGCAGGATGTACACAACAATTTGCTGATATCTCAACTCTCTAGTTCATAATTTTAAAGCAAACATTTTACTACCACCACCACTCCCAAAAATCAACGGATTCGCGGCTCTAAAAAAAGTGCCTCGTCACGCCACTGCATAAAACGTAGGTTTTACTTAATTTTCCATGTCATTTTCTTACATGTCTATGAAAGATGATTCACTGTACATGTTCACAGTCTTGCAGTGGGATGAGAATTCTATTTCCCTTTTAGAAAAAAATAAACTTGAATAATTTTGTATTTAAATAGATATTATTAAATTATTAAAATACCTAAGTTGTTTAATAAATTAGTATGCATATATGTTTAGGTATATTTTAGCTGATTAAAATGGCATCTAGAGATAAACAATCACAATATGTCGATGGTCGACGTACCTGTCCCCGGTACAGTGGACCAGCTTCCAGCAATGGTGACTATGCTTATGCATATTATGAGCATGGTCCTCATGGGTCTAAACCACATGCGTGTTCCAAACATAGTTATATCAACCGATATGGACGTGAAGAGAACATATATGAAGAGATTGGAACATCCAAACTTGATGAGGAAGTTAGATATGTCCATTCGAAACATTTACAGGCAAGTGTTTTTTTAACAACATGATATTCAAAACAATTTTGTATAATTATAAATATTTTTGTTTAAGGTTTTGGATGAATTAAATTTATCAATGGAAGCAATGATAATGCCTGACAATGGTGCATGTTTGAACAATAATGGTTCATCTGGCCTCAATTTAGGAACTTCAAGAGATGGTTCACCTGTGAATTTGAGTGTAGATAGTGGGGTTGCTTGTGATGCTAGCAGTTGTGGCACAAATAGCCTAAGCCGGCCTCGTAAATCTCATTTTAGCACAAAACGGTTTTGGAATAAAATGCCTACTTTAATTTCACCCAGTCCAAGTAAAACATCACTTCCAGGTTAGTTAATTAATTTCATTTTTTTAAAACATACCAATAGTAAAATATTGCTTTATATATTACAATATTGGATATTTGTACATCCACTATATTCCATAAATATTATGGCCACATTCTTCACAAAATCATACATTACTGCTAAGTCCTAAAATTATTAATTAAACTTAATATTCACATAATTACATATATTTATTACATATACACACGTGTCCCCCCCCCACTACAACCAACAATACAATACAGCTACAAACAAACCATACAGCTAATGGCCACAGTTGCCGGGCTTACGTTCAATAAAAAAAAAAATATATTTATTTTATTAATAGATATTCATAAAATACAAGCATAGGATTAGAACATCTTATTATTTACTAGTTTTGTTCAACAAGTATTAGGTTAATCAACTATTAACAACAATATTCATAAATATAAAATATGTTTTGTAATGAATAATTAAAATATTTTTTCTATTTATTGTCTTATTGTGATAGCTATTTTTAAATTTTCTCATTGATCAAAAAAAAAAAACATTTAGTCTATGCTAATATTGCCAATAACAGGATACATGATAACAGAAATTATTTAGATTATCCCACATATTGGTTGAAAAAAATCTTTGTTATTGTAGTATTTGTAATCAACCAAAGTTCATCCAGATTAATTTATTGCGTTTATTAATTTTTAGTGATTGTGTCACAAAAGTATCCCCATGCTACTGAATTCAAATCGTTTTTCATAAATATCTTGATCAACAATTTATTTAAATTTTAAACTGATTTGATGTCATAGCGGATCTATATTTCTTTTTTTTTACAAAAAATAATTTCAAATAAGATGACATTTTTGAACCAATTTGGTTTATTGCTTATAAAAATGATTATGCCTGTTCACTGTTTCAAATTTATTATTAGTATTTTGCATTATAACATTTTAGATTCTGAGTGGAACGATGAATGTATTGATTTTACAATGTGTGTTTTTTTTATTTATTTGTGTCTGTCATCACCTTTTAAGACAGTAAAAGTTCTTGGATTTTCTTCAACAGTACCTTTTCGGATAGGAAAGTCAATCTAATTGGTACTTTGGGGGGTCAAAAGTAAAAATTTCCTAGTAGTTTTCAAAAGCGCCGTGAAAAACAAAAGAAAAATTAAGAAAAAACGGGAGTTTTTACGCAAAATCTGTTTTCGAGAAAATCGATTTTGGTTTTTGGTGTAACTCTTAAACAAATGACCGTAAGTCCATGAAATTTTGACTGAATGTTTATATTAGCATTTTCTATACACCATAACATTTTCAAACTATTTTGATTTATTTTGAACTGTTTAGGGACATTTTCAGTTTCCATTTTTTTTAGTTTTTTATTTTATAAATATCAATAAAAATATATTTGTTGGTTAAAAAAGCTTGAAAATTTAATAGAAGGCTCCTAGTATATTGTTTCTAAGGCAGATGAAAAAAATGAAAAATCCTTAAGCACAGTTTTTTTTTATAAGCATTTAAAGTTCAAATATTGACAAAATACGGAAAAAACACGAAATCTTGCTAACTATTTTTAGTTAGAAATTCATAAAAATTTTTCTTTATAAATCTAAGATTTGAAAATGTAATACAAGGTTTTTTCATATGTTTGGTTACTTTTATCAAAAAAAAAAATGTCTACCGGAAAGTGAAATTAAATTTTTATGAGCATTTTAAATTCATATTTTTACAAAATTTGTTATTCACTCGATTTCTCATGTAATGATTTTCTTATTTTGATAAAATTAAAAAACGAATGACTGGAAACATGCAAGTTTCACTCAATGTTTTTTTTATCAATTCTTATACTTGATAAAATTTTCAAAATATTTTGTCTCTTTTTGAGCTGTTAAGGGACATTTTCAGTTTTCAATTTTTTTAGTTTTTTTTTTTATAAATATCATTAAAGTTTTATCTATTGGGCCCAAAAGTGTAAAAATTTAATACAAGGCTCCTGATATATTGTTACAATATCAGTTGAAAAATATTAAAAATACATAGGCAGAATTTTTTTTTACAGGCATTTAAAGATCGAATTTTGACAACATTTATCAAATTTGAAATTGAATTATTATTTTGTAGTTAAAAATTTATAAAATGTTCAACTTTTATATCTAAGGATTGAAAATTTAAAACAAGATTCCATGTAAGTAGTTAATTCTGTTACCAAAACATCTAAAAAATACACAAGCACAGTTTATTTTTATAGTCATTTTAGGTACAAATATGGATGAAATTACTTATTAAAAAACCTAGTTATTTTGTTGTGATTGTATAATATTATTTGTGGGTACTTGAAACTTCTAAAGTGTACTTTTTTATATCTATGATAGTATCACGGTTTGTTGTTGATGTATAACGCGTTATAAGTACCTAATGGATATTGTGATATGATTAATTTGGAATTTATTATAGGTCAATTTTTTTTTAATACCATAGATATGTATATAATATGTCTTATACCTAGACTGACATACCATCTCCACTCAGAATCGGTTTTCTTATATAATGATATTATATTTTGAATTTAAATTTAATACCATCCATTACACAGTGACCCACTTGTAACCCATTGTACAGCAGAGCACCTTTTTTTTTTTATTACTATTCAGTGAAGTAATTTGTTTTTAAATTGTGTATTGTAGTCAATAGTGAAGTGTGATTATATCTTAGAAAATAATTTATAGTACTAACAAATTGTACCAATTATATTATATTATGTACTATATTACAAAATAAAGTGTGATATTTAAAGATACATTAGTAATGACTTAAAAAGCACACAAAAATGCCTTAAAATCTATAAAATAACAAATAAAAAGTAGCCACCAACCTTACTCACATTTCTACATTGTTCTACCGAAGACTTAGTCCTAGTAATTTTTTAATTTTAAATTTTTATTTTGATATTATTTCTTTGCTATAAATTTAACAGCGGTATTTTCATGCTATAATAGTGCAGTAGTCACTACCAAACTAGTATTGTATTACCTACACTAAGGTAATTATTTTGTCATCATAAAATCATTATTGTTATTAGTGTTATTACTTCAATACCAATAGAGTTGGTAAAGATTAATATAGATACAATTAAATATGTTTTTGAGATAAGATTAAATTATCGTCCTTTGAAATCTAAAATTTTACAAAGCAATACTTATAATGAACATAAATAAGATAAAATGTTCAAAATTAATATTAAGTAATATTTAAAAAAAAAAAAACATTTGAAACAATAAATACAAATTTGTATAGATTGATTAGCGTTATAATAATATATCACTTGTAGAAATAAAATCAAAAGTCATTAATATCCTATCTCTAGTTATATTTATATAAATTGGGTTAAAAAGTAATAGTACAATATTATTATATTTATACAAATAAAACTTGTTTATTATAATTTGGTGAAATATAGTTTTAAGAATATGAAGGAATAAATAAAAAAAAAGTGTCTACTCAAATATTTAATTTTACAAACAGATGAGTCAGTGCGATGGCGACAAAATTCATGGGATGAAGTAACACAGTCAACCACTATTAATGAGCGGCACACTCCTTCACAAAAAAGTTCAAGTTCTGACAGAGATCCAGAACTTTCATCTGAAGAAGAAAGTAACAAGTATGTACTTACATTCTCTGGAATTCTCTTAATTGTTTTTTTTCAAATTTCAAATTTTTATATTCAGGAGTTATGAAACGAGAAACAATGTTTCTAAAACATTGAGATGGACAAAGAACCCTCCAGATCCAGATCCACCTTCTAGTCCTGGCTTATTATCAAGATGGTTTTCATTAAGAAGATGCTCACAATATGATCTAGATGTTCGGCCAAATAGCAAAATGCCTTTATTACCAGAGGTATATTAAATATTAATATTGTTATTTTAATTTTAATATTATGTACAATATTTGTGTACTTTCTTTCCAAAAAAAATTTCTATTAGGTATAAAGTTAGATACTGTAGATTCTAGTATAGAAATATGTAATATTTAATTTTAAATTAATTGTTCTTTTAAGGTTGAAGAAGACTGTTTTTCTAGGCGACTTATTCCACCAAGTCTTCCACCTGCACCTCCTGATATTTCTGAACAAGAACTAAGACGTAGATATATTGTTGATGATATAGTGAGAAGTGAAAATTCGTACTTAGCTACTCTTCATAGACTTGTGAATGTGAGTTAATAAGAACAATCTTAAAAATATATTTGTCTTAAAATTGTATATTTTATGATATTAGGATTACAAAAAGCCTCTAGAACAAAGTATGCCATCAATTTTAAGTCAGTCAAAAATTTCAATACTATTTCATCGAGTTCCAGAGATACTTCAGTGCCATACTCTTTTTAGAATAGCGTTAGCTGAAGCTGTTGCAAATTGGGATCGTGATCATAGAATTGGTGATGTTTTTGTCGGATCTTTTAGTAAAGCAATTGTATTGGATATATACAGTGGGTTTATTAACAATTTTTTAAACGCTATGGAATTGGCAAAAACTGAAACCAAAAGAAAAGCATCTCTCGCCGAGTTTTTTAAAGTTAGTATTTCTGCTTTACTTTTGAATTAAACATAATTTATTTTAATTTATCATTTTAAGAATCGACAAGAGGCATCCCATGACCGTCTTTCATTTTATAGCTTAATGGTTAAACCTGTACAACGATTTCCACAGTTCATTCTTTTCCTCCAGGTTTGTATTTTACTTTATCTCAATTTAAATTTATGCTTTAAAAATGTTTTTATTACATGCATATTTGTTTTAGGATTTATTACATAATACAGGTTATGGTCATCCCGATAGAATGTCTTTACAATTAGCATTAACTCAATTGGAATCATTAGCAGAAATGCTCAATGAGAGGAAACGTGAGAGTGAGCAAGCTCAAGCATTCAAAGAAATGTTAAAATCCGTGTCTAGTAAGTTAGCAGTTCGTCCAATAGCAGACAGCAACAGATGTCTTCTAAGACAAGATGACGTTACTCAAATAGTAAGTTCTGAATACAAATGATACAATTTTATTACTTTTTAAAATACATTATAATGTTCATTAAAATTATTCACAGGAAATTAATCATGGAGAGGTCATTGGAAAATGTAAACCTCGACGTTTGTTATTACTAAATGATTTGCTTGTATGTGTCTCTGTAAATAACAAAGACGATTCCAATAGCACATCACAAAAAAGATTAACGTTCAAATGGAGTTTTCCAATTGCTGAAATTCAAGTACGTTACAGTTAATTTATTTCTTACTCTTATTATAATATTATTTTTTATATTTTATTTATAGGTGATTGACACATTGTCATTGCCTAGTGTTTCACGTACAATCGCTGGTAGTGCAGCATCACATAATAGTATTACAACAGACAATTTATGTAATGAAATGAACCATCTAATGCATGATTATCAAGTAATCAGTCGTATTGTGGAATTAGCATCAACATTAAAAGGCACATATTTGGTTAGTTTGATTTAAAATCATAGTTTAAAGATTTAATATATATTTTTTGAATTATTCACTAATAATTTATTTTTATGAAATTATTATTTTATTTTTAGGATCTTGCTCCAGATCATTTAAAAGGAGTCTTAAATGCAATACAGTGTGAAGTGCAATACAAAGGAGATCAGGTAGCATGGATGGATTCCTGTTGTCTCCAGTTATTTATAAACCGTCAAGGATACACTTTTCAAATGGAAAATCCTGATTTACGTAAAGGGTGGATCACTGGTAAATTCTAGATTAACTATGATTTTACTTATCTAACCATTAAAAATGTTTTGTAGAATTAAGGCTTGCACGCTTGGCTCTCGATCCAAATAATTCTCCAGCTTGGGAAGTTCCTGACCAGGAGTTGATGCGCCCAATGACAAAAATGCCTCTATTCGTAGGTGCTCATCCCATAACTTCGTCTAGCAAACAAGCAGAGGTAATATTTAAATTTGATTAATAGAAATAATTTAAATTGTACTATATATTACTTATATTGTACTAACTGTGCAGGTGACTTGTGGATGTTTTTATTCTTCTGGCTGTGGTAAATTTTCTTATTTGTGGGTGTGCACTACAAATATTCCGATGAATACACATATAGCCATAATGTCTGTTAATAATACTTGCATTCTAAAACAAATTACAACATTAGACTTGCCACAAACCATTGTAACTGCTATAGAGTATGTTAGAGCCTCTGATACAGTTTGGATGGGTACAAATCATAAAAGGTGACTAAAGTGTTTTATAAATCATTTTAAGAAATATTATTTATGGTTAATAATTTTCATTTTGATCTTTTAGTATTTTGATTTTTAATACTGCTGACATGTCAGAAGAAGCAAGTATTTCATTACCAGGTGAAGACGAGAGTCTCAGGGTCACAGCAATCAAACACCATTGTGATACTGTGTTTGTAGCTTTATCAAATGGCTCATTGCTTCTTTATAGAAGAGGTAACCAATCCAAAGAACCAGAGATTGTAGTTTTGGGTCCTGATGCACCTATAACATGTATATTACCTATTAATTTATCATTATACGTGGCATGTGGAAAACAAGTGTTTGTTATGAGTGCCATCACCGGAGAACTTCAAGTAAATATAAAACTAAATGATATATAATTTGTTTAACTCATAAATGTGAAACATCAATTTTTATTTAGAAAAATTTTACCATTCATCACGGAAAAAATGTCAATCTTTTGGCTCATTCTGGTGTTGGACTTTGGCTTTCGTTAATGAATTCAACAACTGTTTGTTTGTACCACACTGAAACATTCAAACATTTACAGGTAAATCAATTTTTCTATAGTGTTAATAGAATAACATTGTTTAATAACACATGTTTTTCATTTATGATGATTATACTTGCTTAAAATATAATTTATTTTTTTTGTATTTTTATTCCAGGACATTAATATTGCATCAAATGTTATAAGATTAAAAGGCACTGCTACACCAGTTAATGTTACTGCACTTATGGCCTGTAAAGGTCTTCTGTGGGTTGGAACTGATGCTGGTATTAGCTTAACAGTTCCATTGCCTCGTTTAGAAGGTGTACCTATAATCAGTGGCAAAGTAAATGTTTCTTATCATGGGCATACCGGTCCGATATCTATTTTGGTGCCATTACAAGACCCACCTACGGTTCTGAAACGCCCACCTTCAAAAACATTAGCTAGTGATATTTATGATCTGTACGGTCGGTTAATGTGTGTCAAAGACTACGATAAAAATGAAGACGCTTTAAATTCAAGTCGATGGTCTTTGCGATCAACTGATGAATCATCAGCAGTACAACATGCCAGATCGTCAGATGTGTCAAAAAAAGATTTCACTTTAGTGACAGTGTCTTGTGGACGTGGTTATGTCAATTATCAGCAACCGTGTTGTTCAACCATTGAAAATAATGCCTACATAATACTTTGGGAGATTAAATTATAAATCTAAGTAGGTAATGGTAATTTAATTTTAATAGTTATTGAGTTGTAGGTAACTCGTTATCTTTAACCTACAAGGTGTTTCTGAAATTGATAATGTAATAATTTAGAACATATTTGTATTGTGAAAATAATTAAAAACTAATTAAATTTATCTACAGAATCATATACTTAAAAATTAACGTTAAATTAATTAATAATTATTATTATTACTCATTGGGAGTTGTATTAAGTTAGAAAATAACTCTTTTATATTAACATTTAACACTAATCTTTAAATTTAAAAGGAAATTGTGAATTCTATTATTTAATTTTATGCTTTCTAAATACATATTATAATATACTAACACATTTCATGAAACACCTTTTTAAAGCCAAATGACCATTTTATCTTGCCAAATCAAAACATACTTCTTCCTTAGAGCTGTATACTGTAGCTGTAAATAGTATTAATTATAGTTATAACTCATAAGTATTAAATTAAATAATAATATTTAAATGAAAACATTGCTGTGAAAAGAGTGATTTTTTTATTTTATAAATTACCTGAGTAATTATTAACCTTTTCTCATTTTCTCATTTTGTTGTTTTATCTTATTTTATTTTATACTCTCTATTATTAACTATATTTAAAAAATAAATTTGTGATAGTTATCTTCTTATGTCTATTCTGAAATTTAATATAAACAGACCATTAGTGCATCATGTTCCTTTCACATTTTATTACAATTAAAATAATTGCAATTTAACACCGAATAACATTTTTTTTCATAGATATTTTTCTTCATAATCAGTCCATTAATACCGTTTATTATTATTTTAGCTCAATTGGGACTTAAACATGTTTAGCCGCTCAATAATTATTTTCAACTCCATAATATTATTACTTCTATTATTTTTAACTTTCTAAGTATGCCTTTAACAGCTCTAATACCTTGAAGCTGTTGATTATTGATAATTAATATTTAATATATAATTATAAGTATTTAAAATAGTATTTACTTATATTAGTGTATTTGTATACAATTAATAACATAATATTATAATATGTGCTGCGGAATGATTAAAAATGATTGTTTTTAAACTTTTTAACATAATATACGTTGCAATAACAAGAACACAATACAAATCTATAGGTAATTTGAATATAATATAATTATTTGTTGTTGGATTATGTATAGATTATCCATAAGTTCCAGTATTACACTGCTATACAAACACATTATTCCCAATTTGAATACTTGAAATTAGTATTATTAACCAGTTTTGTAAACTTTTACTTTTACTTTTCTTTCACTCATAGTGTGTCCCTTGATGAATGGTTCAACAATATTTGTCAGTATTTCATGTCATCAAAAATGATAAACATTCATTATTATTTATAACTCATATATAATATATATTATATATTTAGTATTTGACTGCTCACTTCTCTTATGATTGAATCTCTTTATACTATATTTATATAAGTTTATATTCTAAAGACTCTGTATAATATTCTCAAATTTCTTAGAGTGTTTTAAATCAATATAGTTTATATGAGCCGTTTTATCGCTATCAGATGACTAGTATTATTAGGTAAAATATAATATTTTTCGGATGTCCATTTTAATACAATCTGTTTTCCCCTCATTACTACTTGTACCTTCAATTACTTTAAGCCCTTGAAGACACAAATACTAATATGTAGTGTATAAGTGTTACTCATATTTAATACTGTGGCATACTTATTACAATTCACCCAAATGCTTTTAAATCATTATATTATTTACATTGTAATATTATCATAGGTATTAACTTAGAGTTTTGTATTATTTATTATTATACCTATTATATAAGGCAATGACAAACTGTATTTTACGGTATTAATATTACATCCAATACACATTTGTCACTTACTATTAGTGCATAATAATAATATTACATATATATATATATCAACAATTTGTGTTTCTTCCTAGATACTGCGCCAAACGTTTAGTTTTATTTAAGTAATAACAAAATACACACAAACATATATATGATATATATATATATTATATATATTAACATGATACATTTAGTCAATTAAGTACAAAATAAGGAACAGATACACACACATACACACAAGTGCACGTGCACAAACATATTTATCGTAAGTAAAAAATTCTCTATTTTGACGTCAGTATAATAGTTGTAGATGTTCTGCGACGTTAACTAATGTATAGAATATAGATTATTAAAAATAAAACAATTTTAATATTATGCTCTCGCTCTCGTTACTAATCAGCATAATAATAAATAGGTATGTTACAAAACTAATTTTTGCCCTCACTCATTTATAGGTCAATTTATATTGTATAATAAAAAAATAAATAGTGTTTGCTCGGTATTTCTGTACACACACAATGCAACAGTACCTGTAATTGCTTATAAAAAGTATCGATTATATACTATTACTACTACTATTACCACTAATGCTACACGGTAAATTATATTTACATTTATTATAATTTATAATTGTTTGTGTTTAAATGATTACCTTTCGCGCCGTTGCAAAAGAATGGTACTTTGAGATTTGTATTTAATTTTTTTTTTATCGCTTTTTATACGAACATTTTATTTGTTTTTCTTTTGTTTTTCCGTCTCGAAGAAAAGATTATATATATTATTTTATATTATATTTTTATTACAACACGCCCATTATATTACTATATTTCTATTACGTAGTACATAATTTAATACAATATGTACTACTTCTAATGTCTATTTGAACGAGCTGTGTCTACTATGTATATCAAAGTCGAGAAATGAAATTTTTAATCATATATTATAATAACTATATACCTATATATATATTTTTTTTTTACGTCAATATGATATGTTATAATTATCGAATGTGGTTGTAATATTGTATACACTATACATGATTATAATTTAAACCAACTTAGTTTTAAACGATTTTATTTGTAAAAAGAAATTCTTTTGTATTTTGTGTAAAAAAAAAAGAATAAATATATGTTTTTTCCTTTAATTATTACTATTTATTATTTATTATGTTCGTCCTCGCATACCTATAACCAGGACTTGTAAGTTCATGCATTTGCATATAAATGCTAAGTTTTATTTAATGCTAGATGACATAGAAATGTATTTCAATGTTCCACGGTTAAACGTGTGAAGTCTTATTTTGCATGTTTTTGCATATTTAGAGGTTTTTTGTCTATTTGGCATATTTCTAATTATTGCATTGGGCATATTATACATGGTTTTGGTATTCCTATTCATATTATTATATCAATATGCATTTTTATTATGGAAATACTATGAAAGAATCAACATTTAACAAAAAAAAAAATGCCATTGTTTATAATCTTTTTGAAATCTATTTTTTTTAATTGTGACAAAAAAATATAAAATATAACTATAAAAAAATGAATGGATAATTCATGTTATTTCAAAAATTGTTTATGATTTTTTTAAGTTTATAATTTTAGATATGTAGCGCATATAAATGCATATTTTTTAAATTTTTAGGTATTTTTTAGGGCATGCCATATAAGCACACCTTGGTAGTTGACACCTTGTGATATGCATATTTGATATAAGCGAATAATTTTGATTTTTCGAATAATAACCTTTTCATTAATCATTACTCATTAGTACATACATGGTTCATATTTCCATTTGTTCAAATTATTGTGATAGTGTAAGTTCGAAAAATTATAAGTATCCGTCAATATGTAGGTTAAGAAATTGGTGCGAAATGAAACTTGGGTTGCACACTATACGCCTGAAACCAAGAAACAGTCCGAATAGTGGTGTCACACCACTTCACCCTCAACCAGAAAGTTCAAAATCACCATTCCAGCAAAAAAAAAAATCATGGTATCAGTGTTTTGGGACTACAAAGGCATCATATTGATTGAATATATACCTCAGGGGGCGACCATCAACGCAGCGAAGTATTGTGATTTTAAAAAAAATGAGGAGAGCTATTCAAAATAAAAGGAGGGGTCTGTTAACAAGCGGAGTCTGCCTTCTGCAAGGCAAATGTCACGAAGCAATTGTTGGACTCATTTGGATGGGATGTTTTGAACCACTCCCAGTATTCCCCCTGACCGGGTGCCATCAGATTACCGTTTGTTCACTTCTCTAAAGAAGCACATGGGTAGAAAATAATTTTCAATCGACAAGGGCGGTCGACAAGTGGACAAACGAGGTGGCGGCAAAGCTCTAAAAGGCAGGCATCAAAAAATGATTCTGCAGTCTTACAACCTGTATTGAAAGAGATGGCGACTATGTAGAAAAATAGCACACAAATATATTAATGTAGGTAACCACGTATTTATTTGTTTTAAATATATTTTTTTGGAGCTTATAAAAACTGAGTACACTTAATTTCTGGACATGCCTCGTATAATATATATTATAAACTGCAAAGATTTTGGTACTAAAACTTGTGTTAAGATTTAAGAAAAAATATATTTTATTTTATTTTTAGCTGTTTAACAATATTTTTATCATAGCATGTAAATTGGCGGAAACGGACTATGGTGCAGGAAATGGGTAATTACCATTACACTGTAATAATGATTACATTGACCTACTCAATGACGAGGTACAATCGACACCTGTCACCTACTATATTATTATAGCAGAGTGAAATATTTAATTATAGCAGAGAGAGAATTTTGTATTATAATATATTTCAACACTGTATTTAGTAGGTAGGTAATCAGTGCCGCATTTAGACATTTTGCGCCCCAGTGCAAAAAAAAATTGCTCCCCCCGTAAGGGGCTTACCCACGGAAAATATGGGAGATAGATCCTCATTAACCTTTTAGATTTTGAGCACAGAAAAGAATATTTGTTTTACAATGTGTGCTTTTTTTTTTAAATATTGTTTAGTAATAATTGCTTTATTCTCTCTCCGCAAAGATACATTTGAATTTATGTAACTTAAACCTCGCTTATAATTCATCATATAAGTTGTTTTTATTTTTAATATATTTAAGTAGGTTG